CTAAGTCGCTCGCGCGCATCACAGGTTTCATAACCTCCCTCAGTCTAGTTACCGGTCCTGTCTCAGGCCTTTTCTCCCGCTCTCTGCATCGCGTCCTTAGCAGCCGCACTTCGTGGCGTAGCATCCTGTCGCTAGACCAGCCCGCTCTGACTGAGCTTCGTTTCTGGAGAGATTCTCTCGAGCAGTTCTCCTCTCGTCCTCTCTGGCGCAATCATTCCTTAGTCCTGGTGCTTAATTACGACGCTGGCGCCGACGGCTGGGGCGGCCATTTCCTCCTGCACGGAGTCGAGCAGCGCGCGCGCGGCGTTTGGGCGCACGACGAGCGCCACGGTGTCAAGTCGTCCACGTGGCGTGAGCTAGAGGGTTTACGTCGTCTGCTCCTCTCTGTCGGCCATCTGCTTCGCGGCCACCGCGTTCTTGCTCGCGGCGACGCGATGAACGTCTTCTGGTTGCTAAAGAAGGGGGGTTCTCGCGCTGAGCATTTGCACTCTATCTGCTTGCGCATCTTCTGGCTGTGCTTAGAGCTTCGCATAGAGCTTCTCCCTGAATGGGTTCCGCGCGCTCAGAATCAGCTCGCAGACTTCCTCTCCAAAGTTCGTGACGTCGACGACTTTAGTCTCCAGCCAGGCATTTTCCAGCAGATCCTCCGCGCTTTCAGCCCGCTCCACATAGATCGCTTCGCTAGCTCGTATAACGCTCAGCTCCCTATTTTCTGGTCAGATCTTTGGTCCCCGCACTCAGCTGGCGCTAATGCTTTCACGGATTCCTGGGCTGGCCTCCGCAACTACTGCTTTCCGCCTCCGCGCTTGGTCGCGCGCGTTCTGGAGCATGCTCGCGAGTGTTCTGCCGAGATTGTGCTGGTTGTTCTTGATTGGCCAGGACAGCCATGGTGGCCTCTCCTGGTTCGCGACCGCGGCCGCGCCTGGGCGCCTTTCGTGCGCCACGCCCTCTGGTTTCCGCCCGGCCCGTCGACGTTCCGTTCCGGTCGCGGTTCCGCTGACGCCTTCTTCGGTCACGGTTTCCCTTCGTGCGCTGTTCACGTTCTGGACATCTCCTTCTGGTAAGCCCTGCGTTTTCTTACTTCGTCGTCCTCTTGATTGCAGAGATCTTTCGCTTTGGGGATTGGGATCCTGTCACCGCCGGTCTTCCCACCGACGATCCCCAGATTCAGCGGCTGTTATCTCAGCTTCAGTCTAGCACGTCTTCCGCTCGCGCCGGGGGCACTTTCCAGACTTATTCAGGCCCGTGGCGTCGCTTCCGTTCATGGTGTACCTCGAAGGGCGTCGCTTGTCTCCCTGCCGCTCCTCTGACTGTCGCCCTCTATTTCACTCTGCTTCTCGAAACCGCAAAAACTCCCAGCCCCATCCTCCAGGCTTCCGGCGCTATCTTCCTCCACCATTCGCTCGCTGGTCTTCCCTCTCCTACGTCTAGCCCATTAGTCGCGATGACTCGAGAAATCGCCAAACGCACCAAAGTCGCTGGTCAAAATGTCAAGAAACCTCTCTTGGCCTCTCACTGTCGTCGGCTGTTCGACCTCTGGATGACCGCGCCTTCTGCGAATCTTCACACACTTATGAAGTTGTCTGCTGTCACCCTGTGCTACGTTGGGTTTCTTCGGTGCTCGGATCTTCTCCGCGTCCAGTGGCAAGAAGTTCGCTTCCTCCCGACTCATATGGAGTTTTTCCTGGAAAAGAGCAAGACTGACCAGTACCGCATCGGCCGCTGGGTTTTGATCTCCCGCGTTGGGGGTCCTTTCTGTCCTGTCTCGCTGACTGAGCGTCTCTTGTCTGCTGGCCAGTACGCGAGTCTCGGCCCTGGGGGCTTGATCCGCACGGTGACCATTGCCCGCTCTGCACAGTACATTCGGGCTCAGCAGCCCTCCTATTCTACCGTTCTCAGTTGGTTCAAGGACGCAGCTCGCGTCCTAGGCCTTGATCCCGCAGATTACGGCACTCACTCTGGCCGGCGCGGCGGCGCGACGCGCGCGGCGAACGTCGACGTTCCTGACCGGCTGTTCAAGGAGCACGGCTCGTGGAAGAGCGAGCGCGCCAAGGACGGCTATGTCGTCAGTAAGCTTCAGTCGCGCCTTTCTGTTACTGCTAATATGGGCTTACAGCCAGGAGTGTCCATAGCTGAGCTGGAGCGCTTCGAGCGCGAGGGACTGTTAGCGTCTTAACCCGTTCTGCCTGCCTCTATTTTTCTGTGAAGTCCCGCACCACGCTCGCCTATATCGCGTGTTGTCTTCATTCACATCCATTCTCATTCCGTGAATGTTTGCGTGCCGCAATTGCTGAGAGCATGTAAAGAGAATTGTAAATTCTTCGCGTTTGTAATTAGCGAAGAATTTCGGTTCTCTGCCGCGAACCGGAATTCAAACCGAATTCGAGCGCGCCATGCGCGCTGCGCTGCCGCGTCAGCAGCAGCCAATCAGCTTCGACTTTTCGAAGCTATAAATTCGAGCACTTCACGTGCTCATTCTTCATTCTGCGTTGTGCACCTTCCACAGACACCGCTTCCGATCTCCGCTTCTTTGATCCCACCCGCCCTCCCTGTGTGTCTTGCGACTTTTTCTGCCGCTCTAGTTCTTTCCCTCTGCAGTTTCCCTGCCCGCGGCCGCGCTGCGCCCCTTCGAGGTCTCCACCAAGCGATCCACGGCGGCCGCGTCTCGTCGCGCGCGGATACCTTTTCCTACCCGCCTATGGCGAGGCATCCAAAGATTGACGGACCCGACCCGGCGGAAGGTTTTTGATGGCCCGCGCGCGACGAGAGGCCGTTGAGTAGTTGCTAGCCGTTGATTGCTTGGTGGTAGATGTCGAAGGGGGGTAGTGCGTAACCGCTTAGTTTAGAATTGTAGTTTCGGCCTAGTGTACGAGCCCCACGGTCCTAGTTGAGTGTTTCTGAGACATGCGTAGTACTTAGTCGAGCCTAGGGTTAGCTTAACCCATGCCAGGTGCCACCTGTGCGATAACAAATACGCTACGTAGGTAGCAAACAGCTCTGACACGTACTCGTTCGATTGATTTCCTAATTGTTTGTGGACCGTGGGGCTCAGGCCGCTGCACTCGTGTGGCTGTCTGTGAAGTCCCGCACCACGCTCGCCTATATCGCGTGTTGTCTTCATTCACATCCATTCTCATTCCGTGAATGTTTGCGTGCCGCAATTGCTGAGAGCATGTAAAGAGAA